ATAGCCCTCAGGCGAGCTCAGACTTTGCAGCATTAACACTAACCCTGAATGTGAAATCTTCTAGACAGAAAGAGAGCATTCCTGGGTGGGGCATGGGGTGCATATGGGGAACTCCTGAGGGAACTAATACACAACAAAGGCAGGACTAGAACATGGGGGCTCCGATACCTCAGAAAAAGCAAAGGCTTTAGGTTCAAATCCCATCTCACCAGTTACAAGCTCTGTGACCTGGCCTATTTTACATCTGGACGAGGTACCCATTCGATCCTACTCTACATAGTTGTTAGAAGGATTAGAGAGGATACACAGAGAGCTGGTGAGGCCCAGTTTGGGTTGGTAATCACAGCTGGCGTTTACTGAGCACTTATTACGTGCTAAGCACTTTGTATACACTAGCTCACTGCACCTCACAACCACGATTGACGGCAGATATTAGATCATTCCCGAGGTGCTCCAGTACTGACCAGAAGAGGTAGCAGGCAGCACAACGCCCTCAATCCCTTCTGAATAGATGGTGACATGTATCCCATGTGGGACAGGGATTCCAATGACCTCCCCAAGCCCACTCTCCACAATTCAACCACATGTCTAAGCCACCACACTGCAGGAGGGTCATTCCTTTTGAGCTGAGCACTGTCCCACCCAGGCATCTCTTTTAACAAGCCAGCAAAGGATACTCAGAGCATCCTGGCTCCCTCTGTTTTTTCCCATGATGGGCATCAGAGGGGCCAATCAGTGCTCTCAAAGGCAGACCTCATCCTGGCAGTGGCTCTATGGCTTCACTGCTTGGTGAGCCCAGGAAGTCATCTGTACTGGGTACTCATTAAAGACTCCTTAGCTCTGATGTACCTGCTAAATTTCCCCTCCCTTGGAGATGGGTAGGAAAGAGGGGGAGCTGAAAACACAGCCAGGGATCAGACAGACATGACTCTGTGGATCAGGAAGAAAAACTCACCCCATCCACCAGGCAAAGATGATGCGGCCCAGCATGCCAGTTGAATCTGGGGGAAAGAGGCATTGGTAAGGAACAAGCAAGAGCCTTGGATGCTATGGGGCCTGGCACCAAGATGGCTTTCCATCTTGGGTCACTGCCTTTGGGAGCTTAGTCCAGTTGAGTAAGTTCTAGCTGCACGATGGGGTCAGAAGTGCCTAGACTTAGCAGTCCCTCAGTACGTACCCCAGATAACTAGGTACCCACACACACCAAGAGACATGGACCAGAAGGAATCTTTGCAGCACTGTTTATAACAGCAAAAAACTGGGACACCGAATGCTCACCAACAAGAGAATGCATAAATGAATTCTGGCTCATTTACTCAGGGGCATATTAGACAGCTATGAAAATCCAATGGACCACAACTACTCACCTCAGCATGGATGACCTAGTATCATCATCCTATATGAAAAAGTCAGTCATGAAGACTACATACAGCACAATATGCTGTTCATAAAAGAAAAAAATCCCTGATGCTTTCATAAAAGAAAAGACCCTGATGCTGGGAAAGACTGAAGGCAGGAGGAGAAGGGGGCAACAGAGGATGAGATGGTTGGATGGCATCACTGACTCAGTGGGCATGAGTCTGAGAAAACTCTGGGAGATGGTGAAGGACAGGGAGGCCTGGCATGCTGCAGTCTACAGGATCACAAAGAGTCGGACACGACTTAGTGACTGAACTACAAATGCTCTTCATAAAGCTTGAAGACAACTGAAACTAAACACCATAGTGTCGAGGTATATACATCAATATGGTAAAACTTTTTTTAATAAAAGCAGGAAACCCTCTGTGGAAAATTCAGAGGTTATTGTTGATATTCTAGCTATTAGGCTGGAAAGTGGGTTCACAGACGGTCATTAGAATATAAATAAATGAAAAGGATTTGAACTGCAGGTTGGGGACAAGAGAGCTGGGAGTATAGGGCAGAAGGAGAGGCTTCCTCAGGCTGGGGTGAGTCAGAGAAATTTCTGGAATCTACTAGACTTTCATTTACGCAAGTGCTTACTGGCTGTCCACTGTGTGACAGGTAATGAGGGTCTGGCTGGGAGGTGTGTGTGTGGCAGGGTGTAGCGGACCACAGTGATTCAGAAAGTCATGGCTCCAGGCTCAAAAGAGACAGCAACCATGGTGAAGGACATACATATGTGACAAGGGGACTATTCTACTGGAGGCCATCTGCAAAGCCCTTGTCAGATGTGGAGGCTGGCACTAGGATACAATAATGACACACATCCTCCCTACTTCCTTTGAAAGTCTACACTGTACACCACTCTAGGAAACTTAATTCCTACCTGGTCCTCTTTGCCTCACTTACAATTGGCTGAGCTGCTGGATCTAAAAACTTCTGAATCCTAGTAAGGGATCAGCTGTCCACAAATTGTACTTGGCTCCCTCTGAAAACTCTAATTGGCAAAAGAGTGTGGCGGTTAAGAGTGGGACACAGGGGCTTCCCTGGTGGCTCGGTGGCAAAGAAACCACCTCCCAATGCAGGAGACATAGGTTTGATCCCTGGTCTGGAAAGATCCCATTACTGAGCCTGTGTGTCTAGAGTCCATGTTCTGCAACAAGAGAAGTCCGTGCAACGGAAGTAGAGAGTAGCCCCCATTTGCCGAAACTAGAGAAAAGTCTGCACAGCAGCAAAGGCCCAGCACAGCCAAAAATTAAAAATTAAAAAAAAAATTTTTTTAAACAGTTGCTAAGAAAAAAAAGTAGGAGGGGATATATGTATACCTATGGCTGATTCATGTTGATGTTCAACAGAAGACAACAAAATTCCATAAAACAATCATCCTTCAATTAAAAAATAAATTTTAAAAAAATGTAGGACACAGGAGTCAGTCAGTGTGGGTCCAAATCTTGGCCCTGTGACCACAGGCAAACTGCTAAACCTCTCTGTGCCTCAGCTTCCCCTTTGGAAAAGGAATTCATAAGAGCATCTACCCAGTATGGCTGTTGCAGAGATTAAGCTATATATTGTATGTCAGTGTACAAAATGCCTGGCACACAGCAGACTGTCAAAATACTGGCTGCTTATAGTATTAATATCACTAGTTATGACAGTTAACACCATGTTCCATAAAGAGACCTGTAACTAAAAATGACCGCATCAAAAAATTCCAAGGGAGTTTTTTATGTAAAGCTCTGCATGCAAATTTCTCATGTTTGATAGAAACAAGTATGTAACATCCTTTCTAATGAATGGGGCTTCTTTTAATGTCAACAACAGGCTTTATAGTAAGTGGATATTTTTTCGTCTTAAAATGGTAATTTTTTTCTTAATAACCTGCCTGAGCTGAAGACATATATAAATATGTTGGTGATTAGACTAGAGTGCTTAGAAATGACACGAAACTACTGACCCCAGCTCCCACTGCATTCCAAACACTTAAGCAACAGGAGTGCAATAGAAAAGATCCAAATTAAACAGTGTGGAGGTACGAAAATGTACCATACAACTAAAACTCCTGGGTTCAAATCCAAGCCCCACCACTTACTGGCTATGACCCTGGGCAAGTTACTGTTCTCCGTCTCAGTTTCCCCATCTACAAATTGGACACAATGACAACACCCATCTCAGAGCTATTGTGAACACTGAATCAATACATTTAAAGACTGCTATACTGAGACATCCCTGGTGGTCCAGCAGTTAAGATTCTGCCTTCAAATGCAGGCAACACAAATTTGATTCCTGGTCAGGGAACTGGTATCCCACATACCTAAGCCCGTGAGCTGCAACTGCTGAACCCTCAAGCTCTGGAGCCTGTGCTCTGCAACTAGAGAAAGCCTTCATGCTCAATGAAGAGTCAGCACAGCCAAAATTTAAAAAGAAAAAACAAAGACTGGTACATAATAAGTACTGTGCAGGAACTATTTTTAATATTATTAAAAGAAGAGACAACTCAAACAAGAGCCACAGATCACCACCACTTTTTCCACTGACATGTACTCTCAGAGAAAGAGCTTCTTTCTAGAGGTGACTCACATTTGGACAGTTTGGTTAATGCTAAGGGTACAAGCAGGAGCCTCCAGATTCTTCAAAAGACCCAGGGAGGCTCACAGAGCTGTGGCCAGGCTGACAGTAGGAGCAATGAGCTTTGGGTCTGATTTAAATCCCCACTGGGAACAAGAGTGAAAGACAAAGAATGCAAGAGGCAACCAAGGGCCCTCCTGATGGAAAACAGTTCCCCCTTTCTTTTCTGCTTCACTCTCTACAGGGCATGGTACCAAACTGTATCTCTGTGCACTCCCCGCCCCCCCTCATGGTTTTTCAAAAAGCAGTATATATTCAACAGATGGTTACTACTGTTATTATTTATAGATCATCTACTTTCCCAGAGGATCCAAAACACCTTTCATTCTTCCCCAAACTTCCTCTCTGCCACTCAGGACCTATTACAAAATTGTTTTTGTCTAGAATTAACTACTTTCCCACACCCCAGGCAATTGGCAGTTTTATTCAATTATTGAACTTGTAGGCAGTCCTCCACAGATGAGGAGTAAAGGGAAGGGGCACGTTTTGCTTAGGGATCTGGGCTCCAGATGATCAAGGGACACTGAACAGCATGTATGGGGAACAAAGTACAGCTGCAAGGCTGGTGGGCGTGATAAGGGTATTCTTGCCCTGTGTTATTCACCAGTTGTCAATAAAGACAACACAAATGTTTTACTCAGTTGAATTTTGCTTTTTAACGGTACAAGGCACTCTTCGAGGAACCGGGGAGACTTGGCTCCTAGGTTTAATCAGACAGGAATGCATAAACATACTCATCACAGCTCAGTTAGATGTCAAAACACTGGGAGAAGGGAAAAGGAGGGGTTGGGCTTCCCCGTCGAAGGAAAAAGAGGACAGAGAGGATGGCAGGGCTGAGAGGAGCGAGGGGTGAGACTTCAGGGGCCCAGCTCACCTTTCACGAGCCAGGTGGCCGTGGCAGCTGAAACAGAGGCTTTTGCGTCCCCTACCCCTATGCCCAGCAAGACTGCGTGGGTGGCCAGGGAGCCCGAGAGGCTGGAAGCAAAGGCCTGGAGAAGAAAAGAAGTGGGGTGAGGAGTAAACGCAGGTGCATGGAGGGCTGAGATCTATCATCAGCCACATCACCGGGGTGTGTGGCCTGGGACGTGTCACAGCTCGTCTCTGGGTCTCAGTGTCCAGTCTGTAAGTGGGAAGGGACGGGTGGCGCTCTGTCTCCCCTGCCCCAACTACGTGTCTCTCCCTTCCCCAGTCGGCCAGGCTGACCTGCACGGAATCCCACAGCTGGTAGGGCAGGTAGTCCGGGCTGACGCTATCGGGGAAGCCCTGAGGCAGGAACACGGCCAACAGCCGGGAGAGAGGTGGGGTGGCAGTCCCGGGAGCCACCCCTCCGCCCCCATCTCGACCTCCGGGTTTCGCTGTGAAGGCCCCCGAAAATCCCCACCAGCTGCGCCCCCAGGCCTCCCACTGCAGGCTCCCGTCGGGGGCAGCGCGGCAGCCACGGGCCGCCCCAGAGCCGAACTGCTCGGAGCACAAGACATCAGCCATCCTGAAACCCTCCCTTCAGTCCTGCAAGAAGAGAAACGTGGCCACAAGACACTTCCGGCTCCACTACGGCGGCTGCAGAGGGACAATCTTCCTCCGCCAAAGTGCCTCCTGATTCTGGCCTCCCAGCCCTGTATCGACCTCCCGGGGCTGGTCGTTTCTCGCCCTAGTTCTTTATAGCATCTTGTCTGGGGCCGCGGGAGCCCTTTGACTCGCCAGACCCTGGAGGTACTGGCTTTGCTGTGACCTGCGATTTCCGGTTATGGGGACAAGGGAAGAGGGCGTCCCTAGGGAATTGCGTTGCTACCCAGTGCAGTCACAGAATTTTTAGCTGTGTGGCCTTGGGCAAGTCAGTGTCCCCTCTGGGCCTCAGGCGCCTTCTCTGCTGTGAGGTCAGAGACTATATTTTACTCCTATTCCTAGTGCCCAACACATAGTAGGCGTCTGAACGATATTTATGAATGAATAAATGCATGCATGTTGAGAACTTGAACCAAATGATCACTGAGGCCTCCTTAAGCTTCCCTCTTGGTTGGTTTGTGAGTTTTTGTTTATTTGTTTTCCTTCTGGTGTCTCTGACCCTCCATTGGAAATTTTCTGCCCTTCAGCCTTCCAAATAAATAAATAAAATAAAATATGAACTTCTTGTCATGGCCCACAGAGCTCTGTAGATTGGGCCCTGCTCCATTGCTCAGACTTTACCCTTTACTGATTCATCGTCTCACTGCCCCCACTAGAACATAAAGTCCCAGGGGAGAACTTTGTCTTTGTCCCAGGGCCTGACACAGGTCAGGCGCCAACTACCTTTTTGTGAAATGAATTAATTTATTTTCTCAGTAGCCCTTGTAGGTATTATTTTATTTCTCATTTGAACAGAAAACTGGAGTTTGCATACCCAAACTGGAGTTTGATGGGACTTCATCAAACAGATGAAGACAGAGCTGAAAAGCTGCAAGTGTTCATTCATCTAGTCATTTAACAGTTATTTAGTGAGAAGCTGCTATACTTCTGGGCTCTGAGGCGGGAGTCCAATTGGAGGCTAATAGTTCTAGAACTACATCATCTTTTTTCTTTTTTGGCTGGCCACATGGCTTATGGTATCATAGTTCCGCAACCAGGGACGGAACCTGGGCTGTTTGCAGTAAAAGTGCAGAGTCCTAACCACTGGACTGCCAAGGAATTCCCTACTTTGTATTCTTTTTAAGTATTATAAAAATGGAAAGATACATTCTTACTGTAAATTAATTCAAACGATAATGTAGATGGAGAAGGTCAAATTCTCCCTTGACATTTACCCCTCTTTCCATTTTCAACAAATACCAGTCAATGCCCAGAAGTAAACATTGTTTGCCATTTGAGAGAGAGAGAGAAATCTAGTTTAATGTTTAATGCCCACTGCCATACTTTCGGCCTGAGGTAGCCTGCTCTAACTGTAGTTAATTTAACATCTTCGATACCTTTTCGTATCAGCACATGTGTAGCTATCTCATTATTTTAATAGTTGCAAGTATGCCTTGGTATGAATGTGCCAGTTTCTATGTCCCCGTAATTACTTTACAACGTTGTGTTAGTTTCTGCAGAGCAACAATGTGACTCAGCTATAGGTATACATTTATCCCCTCCCTCTTGAGTCTCCCTCCCACCCCCCATTCCACTCATCTAGGCCATCACAGAGCATTCAGCTGGGCACTCTGTGCTATACTGCAGCTTCGCACTAGCTATCTATTTTACAGACGGTAGTGTGTATACGTCAGTGATACCCTTTCAATTCGTCTCACTCTCCCCTCCCCACCCTATGTGTTTTTTAATTTGAACAAGTATTGTTAAATTATCCCTCTAAAAAAGCCATACTGGAGCTCCCCTGGTGGCTCAGTGGTAAAGAATCTGCTGCCAATGCGGGAGACATTTTGATCCCTGATCCAGAAAGATCCCACATGCCCTGGAGCTACTAAGCCCATGTGCATAAACAAAAAGAAAAAAAGCCTTACCAACTTACACTCCTACTAACAGTGTATGAGAATGCTCATCATAGTCAAGATACGTATTTCTATCTAAAAAATTTCCCTTTGGCACATTTGCATTTTAAGCTCCACTCTTGTATTCTGGCCACAGATAACAACTGACAGTGCTTTCTGCCACTGTAGATTACTTTTGCTTATTCTAGAATTTTGTAGAAATGGAATTCCACTGTATATGTCTTCTATGCTTGGCTTCTTTGGCTCAGCCTAATGATTTTGAGATTCATCCATGTTGTCATGAGTACAACACGTTTCTTTTTATTGCTGAGTAGTTTGTTGATTAGTCTGTTGTTTCTTTTTCTTGCTGAGTAGTATTCCATGGTATGAATATGCCACAATCTGTATATGTACTCACTGGTTATTAGACATTTGGGTTGTTTCCAGTTTTGAGTTATTGTGATAAAGCTGCTATGAACATTTGCACTTGCATGTAAGTATTTTTGTAGACTTGTATGGTCATTTCTTACTAACTCCATTTGGAGTGGGATTGCTGGGTTATGTGGTCAGTGTATGCTGAACTTTATAAGAAATTGCCAAATTATCTTTCAGACTTTTCATTGTACACTCCCACTTGCAATGTATGAGAATTCTAGTTCTCTCAGATCCTTACCAACACTTAATCAGTCTTTTAAACTTTTAGTCATTGTAGTTGGTATGTAGTGGTATCACTCTGTAGCTTTCATTTGCATTTCCCTGGTGAGTAATAGTGTTGAATATCTCTTTATGTGCTTTTTGGCTATTTGCATATCTTCTTTGTGAAGTGCCTGTTCCAATCTTTTGGCCATTTAAAAAGCTGCTATGTCTTATTATCGAACTATCAGAATTCGTTTTAAATTCTGTATACATGTTCTTTGTCAGGTGCCATTGTGACTATTCCTCCTTGTGGCAACAGATACTTTCTATCCTAAATAAATAAAAACACGTTCACACAAAAACCTGTACACAAATATTTATAGCTATTCTATTGATGCTTACCAATAACTGCAAACAATCCAAATATCCTCCAGTGGGTCAATGAATAAACAAGATCGAGTGCATCCTTGCAGCACACAGTTAGCAATGGAATGGAACAACTAACTCACTGTTACTTGCAACAACTTGGATGGAGCTTAAGGGCATTATTCTGAGTGAAAGGAGACAGTCTCAAAGCTTACATGCTGTGTGATTCCATCATAGTGTGTGTTAGTCGCTCAGTCATGTCCAACTCTGCAACCCTATGGATTGTAGCCTGCCAGGCTCCTCTGTCCATGGGGATTCTCCAGGCAAGAGTACTGGAGTGGGTAGCCATTCCCTTCTCCAGTGGATCTTTGGACTATTTTTTAAATCTTTATTGAATTTGTTATTGTTTTTGAATTGCTTCTGTTTTATGTTTTCATTTTTTGGCCTCCAGACATATGGGATGTTAGCTCCCCCACCAAAAATTGAACCAGAGATGAAGCTGATAACCCCTGCATTGGAAGGCAAAGTCTTAACCACTGGCCCACCAGGGAAGTCCCTGAATGTTGCTTTTGAATGGAGAAAGATGTGACCGAAAATACATATCTCTTTAATGCTGGCTACTTTGTCGGGGGAAGGAGAAAAATGATCCACTTTTTCAGTGTGTATTTTTTAAATGTTTCATTTATTTCAATTAGTATATGATGATTTAGAAATTTGAAAAAAAATCTATTAAAATGGAAACCATTAGGAAAATATTTTTAAAGATGAAGAAAGGTATTTTTGCTTTGTCAAGTACCTGATGATATGGTAGAGAGTAAGACAAATGTGTGTCCATTCCAGTGGAACTCAGCCTGGAAGTGTCCAGTCCTCCCATCTTATAAATGGCTCATCTGAAAAATTATGACTGTTATTGGAACTGGCCTAATGGAAGCTTTTATAAGAATACATACTTTGTGAGTTTTTTTTTTTTTAATGCCATGCTGTGTGGCTTGCAGAATCTCAGTTCCCTGACCAGGGATTGAACCTGGGCCACAGCATTGAAAGCCCTGAATCCCAACCACTAGGCCTCCAGGGAACTCCCAAGAATAAATACCTTAATACTTGCTTGAAACAATGCCTCCCACAAAGCATAACTGTAATGTTAGCTTCTATGAATATATCATCTATGAACTGGAAGAATAATTGCCATCACTTGCAGGGGGATGATTTTTAAAGTGCTTGTCTTGCAATGGGGGATCAGTCACTGTTAATTTTGTGAGCTTTGGAACCTGGCTTCTGGGATGTGGCAGGGAGGGCAAGGCGGTCCCTGGTGTGGTTTTCTGGGTCTCTCCACTTATCTGTTCTCTTGGCCTTGCTATCTTCCTAATTTCAGGGGAACCTCTCCCTCCTTCCCCTCCCCTGGTTGACATATCACCTTCCCTCAGGACCGAAATGCAGGGCGTTTCCCTCTTTGGCTGACACTGAACCCCTTGTCTACATCTAGCTTGGCACAGAGGGACAGCCAGAGACTGAAAAGTGTGGCTGAGACCTACACAGCACCGCTGGACCTGAAGGTGAGCCAGCCGGGGAGAAATGTGATCTCAGGGCAGTTCAGGCTCAGAAGGGTGGTGCCGGGGAGGTGACCCTGCAGGGCACCGGGGATCCTCAGAGGGGAGTGAGGAGATTGGGAGAAAAGGATACTTAAATTTCATCTCTTTCTCTAACCAAGCAGATGGCCCTTATTCAGACCAATAAGGATCTCATTTCTAAAGGAATAAAGGAATTCAACGGCCTGCTGAATCAGCAGGTAAGACTGGTGCTCTATTTCAGAGGACAGGCCTGAAGTGTTGGGAGGTGGGCAAGGACAGAGAAAGGAGAATAACTTGGAGCGGGGAGGGTAATGGTGGAGTTGATGGAAGCCATGAGAGACAAGGAATATAAATCAGAGAAAAATGGATGTCAGAGTTTGTGGATATTCCTGAACCACATGTCTGAGCCGGGTCTCCTTCGCCAAATTCTGATCGCCCCCCACCCCAATCCCACCCTTCACCTCCCCCCCCAGGTCTTCAGTGATCCTGCCGTCTCTGAAGAAGCCATGGTGACTGTGGTGAATGACTGGGTGAACTTCTACATCAACTATTACAAGAAGCAGATGTCGGGGGAGCAAGAGGAGCAGGACAAGGCTCTGCAGGAGTTTCGGCAAGAGCTGGATACCCTGTCTGCCTCTTTCCTGGACAAATATAGGAACTTCCTGAAGTCCTCATGAGCGCCCCCTCACACGCTGCCTTTCTCCTAGCCCAGAGACGCAGGCTGCAAGTCTAAGAAACACTTAAATGCTGCCTCTGTGCTCTAGTCCTTGGGCTCTGCTCCTTCATGGAGTTGCTGCACCCTGACACCTCAATAAAGACCAGTTCTGGTTGTGATGGTCTTCCTGGCTCTTTGGCTCTTCTTTGGTTCCGATCCCTGAATCGTGGAGACAGTTTTCCCTCAGCCCTGCTTCCTAAATATGGTCTTGAAGATCAAACCTCTTAGAGCAGAGGTTTGCAGCCTTAAGTAACCACTGGGAAGTACTAAAATAGCCTGAAGGAGGGGCCAGCCGACAGTCTAAAGAGTAAGTGCTGAGGGACAGGGAAGGGGACAAAAAGGGGGAGATAGCGGCTCACCAGAAAGCACGGTCCTGTGACATGCTGTCTAGAAGAAAGTTTTTGGAATCTCCCAGTCTTGTTTACCCTACACTGCAGCATGTGACAAGAGAATCAAACTATGACAAAAGTACAAGATATCCTCGCTGTAGGGGGCTGGGGAATGAAATGCACTAACATATCGGACTGTGGAAATGATGGAATCTCTAAGACTAAGCCACAAATTAGTGCATACAAACACTGTGCCCTAGTATGGGTTAATAATTCTGATACTGTTGCACATGCTCATTGGAATTGAACAATAGGTGTAAATACATGGTGGATAACGGGAGTTGGGTTTCTCAATGTTGGAGTGGGAATTTAGGGAGAGGCAAAGTGGTGTGGGGGAGGTTAGAATAATCTACGTGGTAATGGATTGGAGTTAGAAATATCAGTACAGACAGACTTGGTGTGATGATGGCATATAGCGGGTGGGTTAAGTTGCTCCTCTTTTCCCTCCCTGTCTCCCTCCTCCTTTTTGTTTTTTTTAAAGATTTATTTATTTGGCTGCACCAGGTCTAAGTTGCAGCATGCAAACTCTTAGCTGTGGCATGTAGGATCTAGTTCCCTGACCAGTGATCAAATCCAGTCCACCTGCATTGGGAGCTCAGAGTCTCAGCCACTGGACCACCAGGGAAGTCCCCCTTCTCCCTTTTTAAACAACTAAGTAGACATCCATAAGGGAACAAAAGTGCCTCTGCACACTCCATCAAGGAACCCAGGAGGTTTCTAACCCACCTGTGTATCTGAAAATTAACGAATAGGACCTCAGTAAGGGCTGCAGATCCAAGGGAGATACAAATCTCCTCTATCTCCACTGGTCACAAGGGGGCAGGGGGTGGAGGGGTGAAGCCTGGAGATGGCAAACTGGGAAGAGACCCAGAGACCCTTTTGGAGATAGAGACGTTGTGGAAGTCCAGCCTGCCTGGAGGGGACTTCAGCATGCCTTAGGGCAAGGTGAGGATGAGTCTGGAGGCGAGAGGAAGGAACTTGCCAAGGTGGCCCGTTTTCCCAGGGCGACTCCACCAACGTTGAGCTTTTCACAGCAGCAGGGGTGATCCCCATCGGGCAAAGGAGGTGGAAATCGGTGACCCCTCGCACAGAGTGGGTGGGAAGCGCAAGGGGTGAGTGACTGCCCCCCATCCCCAGTTGCGCACATTCCAACTGGAGAAACCCATTTGTCTCCAGCAGGACCCAGATTTCCGAAGAGGGATCTCCATCACTGAGGGGAGAGAGGAAAAAATGGAAGGAAACCTAAGACTGTCACATGGCATTAATTGTTCATTTCCTGCTGTCCTCCAGTACTTCCGCAAGAAGTCTGCCCATGAACCGGTTGGAGAACCTCACCCAAGGAAACCCCTACAAACTGTGGGCACCCCAAGAGCCCCAAGGGCTAAACCCGTACATCCTTGTACTCTGCGGCCGGCTCCTGTGCCAGAGTGAGCCCTAGTGGACACGGAGGGAGCTCAGGGCAAGGGAGAAAATACAAACGGGCTGTAGCGCCACCTTCTGGAAAACAAAAGAAAGGATTCCAACAGCCTGCCTGTTGAATGGTTAAGAACGGAAGGCTTAAAAGCTTAGTTAAGGAAGTTTCTATTTGTAACCTGAATTCTAACCTGAAAGCAGAGGCACATACCTACAAACGCTATTTAAAAATCAAGGAAATGTGACGGACCTAGAAATTATCACACTAACTGAAGACACTGCATATAACATGTCAGATGGTGAGCGCTGCCAAGGTGAAGAAATCAGTTATAAAGGAGACAGTAGACAAGGAGTGTGATTTTGTTTCTTTTTTTTTTTTTTACTGAGTGTTTAGGTAACATCAGCAAACAAGGCGGCTTTTTTTTTTGTTTTTTGGCCACACTGCTTGGCATGCGGAATCTAAGTTCCCGGACCAGGGATTGAACCAGTGCCTCCTGCAGTGGCATCGCTGAGTCTCAACCACTAGAACCCCAGGGAGGTCCCACATTTGAACACAGATCTCAAAGAAGATAGGGTTGGATCCAGGAAGTTATCTGAAGTGTATGCCTCAATGCAGGAATGGCCAGCACAACAGTTCTGAGAAAGGTGCTCATTTCAGAAAAATCAAGGCTCCAAAGGAATGAGGTATGTCAGAGAACTGTGAGCAAGAAGGTGCATAATGAGAGATGGTGTTAGAAAAATCTGAGGAACCAGGTGGCTTCCCTGCTGCTGCTGAAAGGAAGCCAGAGGGAATCCCTCATCCACACTATGGTCCTCTTCCACACTCTTAAATTTTTTGCAAGGGCCTCCCCTGAATTGATTGCCTCTTTAGTACAACCTATTGGTTTATTTCTGGTGTCTATAATGTAAGAGTCACCTTGGAATTATGAGGCCACATACAGGAGACCCGAGTTCAATCCCTAATCCGGGAAGACCCCCTGGAGAAATACATGGCAACCCACTCCAGTATTCTTGCCTGGGAAATCCCATGGACAGAGCAGCCTGGTGGGCTACAGTCCAGGGGTCTCAAAGAGTCTGACATGACTTAGCAACTCAACAACATTTCTGCCTTTAAGGATGTTTTCATCCTACAAGGTACACAAACACCCAAACACACGCACACGTCCAACCATGGTCTTCTGGGCTGTTACTACCATGCCTTTTCCATTCCCAGGCTTACTGATTAGGTGAGGAGTAAATATAACTCCAGAAGTTCAGAAATCAGAAGATGATTGCTTCTTGGTAGGAAAGCTATGACAAACCTAGACAGTGTGTTGAAAGGCAGAGACATTACTCTGCAGACAAAGGTCCATATAGTCAAGGCTATGGTCTTCCCAGTGGTCACGTACAGTTGTGAGAGCTGGACCATAAAGAAGGCAGAATGCCAAAGAATTGGCTTCGAAATGTGGTGCTGGAGACTTCTGAAAGTCCCTTGGACAGCAAGAAGATCAAACCAGTCAATTTTAAGAGAAATCAACCCTGAATATTTGTTGGAAAGACTGATGCTGAAGCTGAAGCTCCAGTATTCTGGTCATCAGAGGTGAACAGCTGACTCATTGGAAAAGTCCCTGATGCTGGGAAAGATTGCGGGCCGAAGGATAAAAGGGTATCAGAGGATGAGAAGACTGGATGGCATCACTGATGCAATGGACATGAACTTGGGCAAACTTGGCAGGTGGTGAAGGAATGGGAGGCCTGGCGTGCTGCAGTCCATGGGGTCGCAAAAAGTCAGACACAACTGGGCAACTGAACTGAACTGAACTGAGAAAGTCATAGAAAAATGTGATTGGACTAAGGGTAGTAAACTGTGGGGATTCAGCAAGGTCTATTCATTTTGATTCTTTTCAGCATCCCCCCACCATCTTTGAAAATAAATGTGCTCCTTTCTTCTGGGTTCATGGAAGCCTCTTTGAGGAGGACCTTATGATCTGCTTCAGAGGAGAGAGTGGAGGTCAGAGAGTCCTTCCTCCACCTCTAAAATTCCATCAGCTGAAAATATTCAGTAAGTGGAGGTATTATATTTTGGGATAATGTGTTCTGAACCCCATCATTTCTCTCTTATCCTTCTTTTTTCCTTCTTTCGTTTCCTTTCCCTTAAAAATTCTTCCTATAGTATGCCAAGCCCATGTAAGAGAGAGGGTTCTGTAAATTTCCACTCCATCTCATTCACTCGCCCAGGTTCCCTGGGCCCCACCTAAGGAATCCAAAGACTTGTTAATAGCATGTTGATGTTACTTTCCCAGCAATTTTGCTTCATAGGTGGGATGTTCTCAAGCCCCTGTGTTCCTCAGTAAGAAGAAAGCTTTCTTCTAATTTATTTAAAAGTATCTGTTTCAAAAATCTCTCACACTTAGAAATGGTACAACATCTTGCAAGTGGATCATGACTGGATATAATTTATTAAAGAAATCCCTTTTACATTTTTAGTAGTCAAACTTTTAACTAAAATTAGTAGTTTTCTCTTTAAATTAAAAATACAAATTAATCATGTTTATTATACATAAACTCCTCAGTAAATATATTACTTTTAGCAATTTTTACAGATTTTATGGGCTTCCCTGGTAGCTCAGATGGTAAAGAATCCACCTGCATTGTGGGAGACCTGGGTTCCATCCCTGGGTTGGGAAGCTCTCCTGGAAAAGGGAAAGGCTACCCACTCCAGCATCCTGGCCT